AAATGATAAAAAAACACAATAGAATGCATTTTATTGAATAAAAATATTTGATGCTAACGGATTAATATCGATATACTGATTTATAATACTGATGTTTATTTTATTATATCATTGAAATATATTCTAATAATATTACAAATAAATATAATAAAACTCTGCATAAACTAATATATAATAATAGTATATTTATAGTATATATTATATATTTATTGTATAAATAACTTTTTATGGCTTTAATTATTGAATTTGTTTTTCAAATGCACTAAAACTTATTTAATTTTATGTATAATCAAAGTTTCTGATTAAGAAAATATTTTCTGATCAAGAAAATAGAGTTGAAAGTATAGAATGCAGAAATTTTGGTGGTGCACTGAAAAAAATGCAGAAATAATTAGAAGAAAAAAAACGGCAAGTAGCACGTTCAAAACGTGATTTTCTTTTAAAACACAACAATTATCTTTTTTTTTTTTTTTAGAGCTTACATTTACAACCACATCTTTCTGTTACAGTGCAGTGGGTGTTTGTCACTCTCATACAACCTGCAAAGCCTGCAGTACCAGCAGCAGTGAAAGCAATACTGATAAGAGGAATATTACAGCAGCTCATTATATGAATATATTTCTTCCTTTGATTATATCTGATATCACATTTATATTGTTATGACTCCATTTTTATGACAGAAGCACTAACTTTGGTCTATACAGAGCAGCTCATGCCTGCTCTCTACTGGCCTGAGAAACGCAGGACTAATCAATGCAACAACAGCACTGGGCAAACAGTGGTGATCCTTCATGACAGGTACCTTAATGCACATTACAGCACATTAATGCACCGATTGCAGGAGTGACTGTATAGATGAGGAATGATTGAATGGGTGGATGCACGCATTTCTGGAATTCAGCAGTGTTCTTGTGGTATGTATGCTGAATAATTCAACAATGGAAATGTCTTTATATGTTGTTTTCCCTCTTCCACAGAGTTCCCTAAATAGAAGCATTAAAGCACTATATACAGTGAAAATGCTCAAAATGTTAATTTATACACTTATTATCACAAGTTATGGATCTTTTTCGCTACTGAATATGATCCAAGGATAAGACATATGTCTTTTAGGGAAACAAACAGATGACTTGTGAGCTGAACGATGTGTCCCCTTCCTTTAGATCCCTCCATTCATCACGCCCCTCATGTTCTACAGCTTCCAGCACAGAGCATCCGTTAAAAGTAAGCATTTCATTTTCCTGATAAATTTGAGTTCCTGCAAGCTTCTCATAGTTGGTTTTTGGAGGTTGTTTAAAATCAAGAACGATGTTTGAGCTCTGTATACTGTAAGCCTGCACATTTAAATAGGTTTTAAACTAAGTGAACTGTACAATGAGTAGGGGAAAAAAAAACAATTTTAACTGTTAAACACTGTAAAAATACTACAGTAAAACCTGGTAACTGGTTAACAGTAAGTTCCCTTACTGTATATGGGGGAAAACCGTAATAGATCCAACCTTACATATAAGGTACGTTAAATGTACCATTTTTGGAAGTAAAAGGAACCAGTCATCTAATTATTTATAGTAAAAAAATAAAAAAAACCTGTAACCCGACATTCTTCCCTGGGTGAAACTTCACATTTGATGGTATACCATTTACATAATTTTCTCATACGTTTTTCTTAATAGTTTTTGTTAGCAGTTATGCATAATAGGGTTTTATGCTATGGCTTATTTTGTTGTTTATTGCATTATTTTACAGAAAATGCAGCAGTAATTTTATGTTAAAGGTACAAAACCGATTTTAACAGCAGTAGTTTTTTTATTACAGTTTTAAACTGTAAAATGTACTGGCTTTTCTGCAAATACAGTATATGTTAACATTTTACTATATTCAACCACTGCTGCAATTTCTTTCTGTAAAAACAACAGGAGTTTATTTTTAATTGTATTTTTTTTTACAGTGTATAAACACTGAAACACCTACACCTCGGTATAGTATCAGTATAGGTTAGTCACAAATCTGTATGCCATGTGAAAAAAAATGAACAAACAAAACAGATTAGGCATTTTAAGAGTGTTTATACTATAACTGACACATGCCAGCACTGGAGCTCCTCAAAGATACCAAACTTCACATTCATTACAGCACCTACACTGTAAGAAAACATCATGTTGTGCTGGCTTTTGCTGCAGCTAGCTCCTCTTCCATAGGGCACCCACCTATCTAGATGTGGCAGTGCTGCTGTTCTCACTCTCCAATGTTGAAATGAGCTCTCAAACTTAGGTACAAATGCTCACTGGAAATACAGCTCCACACACTGTAGGAGACGCAATTCTTTGATCAAAAATTTGGATGCATATTTTTTTTGAAGTTGCTTTTAAAGATAGCACCTGCCTAGAAGCTACAAGAAAATGTAATGTAGAGTTCACAGTGAAGGAAAACTCATTTTTAAATATCCATGGATATTTAAAAGATCGGCTGGCAGTTGGACTATAAGCTTCTGGCATGCAGTCCAAAGGGAAAGCCTGTGAAATCTGCCAAAAATGCTTGAAACAGACTTATAATTGTTTAAGCTCTGAGTGGCGAGTGGGGAAAATGGTAGTTTGGTCTATAAGCCTGCATAAACGTTAAGATCTAAGACTGCAATCAGTGTTGGGTAAATTACTCTAAAAAACGAATTACTACTAATTACATCTTCAACAGTGTAATTAGATTACTGTACAAATTACTCTCTCCAAAAAGTATTTAATTACTTAATTACTAATTACTTTCTAAATCCTATATCAACCTCGACACGTTAATGATACAAGGATAAACATGAAAAAGTTATTTTAATTATTTCAAATAACTACATAAATTATCCTGGTCACACTTTAGATTATGGTCCAATGCTCACTATTAACTAACTATTAACTATGACTTTTGCCTCAATATACTCCTAATTACTGCTTATTAATACTTAGTAAAGTAGTTGTTAAGTTTAAGTATTGAGTAGGATTAAGGATTTAGAATAAGGTCTTGCAGAATAAGACATTAATATGTGCTTTTTAAGTAATAATAAATAGACAATATCCCAGTAATATTCATGATAAAAAGTTAATAGTGAGAATTGGACACTAAAGTGTTACCAATATTCTTATTAACTCACCAAAGTATTTAAAGTGAGAAGGGTACATAAAAAGCATGCATTTTAAGGTTAGACTTTAAATTTTGATGTTAAATCCACTATTGCATTGCGTATAAATGTTCTACAGTCTATACACAGTATTAAGTTCAATTACATAAGAAGTAACTGTAATTAAATTACAGAAAAAAATAAGAGTAATCCCTCACTTTACTTTTTCAAGGGAAAAGTAATTAAATTACAGTAACTAATTACGTAGTAATTAGTTACACCCAACACTGACTGCAATAAACTGCATAGCATGAATTTTAACAAATAACATAAAATACGATGTCCAGTTGACATGATGTTTGTAAATAATATTTTAGTCATTACTCCAGTCTTCAGTGTCACATGATCCTTCAGAAATCATTCTAATATGCTGATTGCACAGTCTCTTCCTGTCTAAGTAGGCATATGTTGGCTAGAAGAAGCTAGGCTGTGAACCAGACTTTGTCTTTAAATTTGTAAATGGCCTGACTACGCAAGACTATGTTCATCCAGGGCTTTGTAAGTTTTAAACGGTTTCTCTTTAGGGAAACTTCTGTCTGGTACTGTCTCTGAAATTGAAGGATTATAGCAGTAAATCAATTTTGATTACATTCTTGGAACTGTTCATTAACAGATATGCAATATTTGCTCTAATAATTAATAGTTTTACTTTTTAATGCCTTTCACACTGAATACAGGTAAAGGTTCATTCACATTAATAGTCGCTTTCTTTTGGGCATTTGATTTTACAACCTCAAGTCCTATTGTTCACTTATTGATTTAAGGCTTAGGCTTACTGAGGCATTTATGTTTTTTAAAAAATATATAACTCACTTAAAGCAATTTACGTACATTTCCAACCAGCCCTGATGTTATTTCCCCCTAGATAATACATTGAGCCGACAATATGGCTAAATAAGAATATGCAGACAGATTGCTCAGTGCGCTAACAATAGGTAATTAGTGGACGAATATAAAATGTTAACATATGGTTAAACTGCAATATTTCTTCTCTATCCATTGCCTTCTGTTTTGGACATTCTTATTGCTTGATCATACGTGAGCATGTCCTTCCCCTCCAATGAAAACCAAACAAAACAGAAAAATGACATGCTCACCAAGCTGAGCTCAAGGCAAAAGCAGAAATGCTTCCACTGTCTGAGTGAGAGAGAAAACGGCAACCTCGGACAGCCTCAGAGGCACGAAAAAACAAACAAACAAAAAAACACACACATCCAAAAGCATGGAAATATGTGGAGAGGGCTGAACAAGCCAGCAGATCTATAAGGCCTATACAGTGTAAATTGGTGATCAGCCGATAGCGCCAATGAATTTCACTGCACCTATGGAGACAGAACAAAATAATTTCAACCTCCAGTTTTATTTTGGTCCTGGGATGACAGTAGAAACAAATTAAGATTATAATACAGCACAGAGTACAGTTTAAAGTAGTGTTTCCCAACCACTGTGCCGCAGGTTGTCTGGTGTGCTGTGGAAAATTATCAATTAGCCTATATTTCGTTATTATTTTAAATCAGTTCTGTTGGTCATCGTTATGTCTGTTTGTGGGTTTTACAAATATTTAACCAATGAAAAGCATTCATTAAGTTTAAGAATTGGGTAGGATTAAGGATTTAGAATAAGGTCTTGCAGAACAAGACATTAATATGTGTTTTTAAGTAATAATAAACAGCCAATATTCCAGTAATATTCATGCTAATAACCAACTAGTTAATAGTGGGAATTGGACACTTAAGTATTTAAAGTGAGAAGGGTACATAAAAAGCATGCATTTTAAGGTTAGACTTTAAATTTTGATGTTAAATCCACTATTGCATTGCGTATAAATGTTCTACAGTCTATACACAGTATTAAGTTCAATTACATAAGAAGTAACTGTAATTAAATTACAGAAAAATAGTAATCCCTTACTTTACTTTTTCAAGGGAAAAGTAATTAAATTACAGTAACTAATTACGTAGTAATTAGTTACACCCAACACTGACTGCAATAAACTGCATAGCATGAATTTTAACAAATAACATAAAATACGATGTCCAGTTGACATGATGTTTGTAAATAATATTTTAGTCATTACTCCAGTCTTCAGTGTCACATGATCCTTCAGAAATCATTCTAATATGCTGATTGCACAGTCTCTTCCTGTCTAAGTAGGCATATGTTGGCTAGAAGAAGCTAGGCTGTGAACCAGACTTTGTCTTTAAATTTGTAAATGGCCTGACTACGCAAGACTATGTTCATCCAGGGCTTTGTAAGTTTTAAACGGTTTCTCTTTAGGGAAACTTCTGTCTGGTACTGTCTCTGAAATTGAAGGATTATAGCAGTAAATCAATTTTGATTACATTCTTGGAACTGTTCATTAACAGATATGCAATATTTGCTCTAATAATTAATAGTTTTACTTTTTAATGCCTTTCACACTGAATACAGGTAAAGGTTCATTCACATTAATAGTCGCTTTCTTTTGGGCATTTGATTTTACAACCTCAAGTCCTATTGTTCACTTATTGATTTAAGGCTTAGGCTTACTGAGGCATTTATGTTTTTTAAAAAATATATAACTCACTTAAAGCAATTTACGTACATTTCCAACCAGCCCTGATGTTATTTCCCCCTAGATAATACATTGAGCCGACAATATGGCTAAATAAGAATATGCAGACAGATTGCTCAGTGCGCTAACAATAGGTAATTAGTGGACGAATATAAAATGTTAACATATGGTTAAACTGCAATATTTCTTCTCTATCCATTGCCTTCTGTTTTGGACATTCTTATTGCTTGATCATACGTGAGCATGTCCTTCCCCTCCAATGAAAACCAAACAAAACAGAAAAATGACATGCTCACCAAGCTGAGCTCAAGGCAAAAGCAGAAATGCTTCCACTGTCTGAGTGAGAGAGAAAACGGCAACCTCGGACAGCCTCAGAGGCACGAAAAAACAAACAAACAAAAAAACACACACATCCAAAAGCATGGAAATATGTGGAGAGGGCTGAACAAGCCAGCAGATCTATAAGGCCTATACAGTGTAAATTGGTGATCAGCCGATAGCGCCAATGAATTTCACTGCACCTATGGAGACAGAACAAAATAATTTCAACCTCCAGTTTTATTTTGGTCCTGGGATGACAGTAGAAACAAATTAAGATTATAATACAGCACAGAGTACAGTTTAAAGTAGTGTTTCCCAACCACTGTGCCGCAGGTTGTCTGGTGTGCTGTGGAAAATTATCAATTAGCCTATATTTCGTTATTATTTTAAATCAGTTCTGTTGGTCATCGTTATGTCTGTTTGTGGGTTTTACAAATATTTAACCAATGAAAAGCATTCAAAAGAGCATGTGACCAAACCTCGTAACGCCATTGGATCCTCAAATTGTCAGTCAAACTTCATAACTCAACACCCCGCCTCCATTCAGAATGAAGTGCCGCGACGCGCAGTTTGAAGACAGACGTCTACTTCTTCGCAATACAAGGGTAAATAAAGAACTGATGTTTGAAAAAGAGCAGCGTTTTCTTTACTCAAGTAACACTGTCCATAAAGGCTTGTAATGAAGAGTGGAGAAGAGTCTTAGCATTTGGCGTCTAGTTGTAGCCAGTACACTTTTGTACGTTTTAAATATCCTGTGCATAGCGGTTCATCTTTTAGATCATGATATTTTGGCCAGATGTATTAAACAACAAGAAAAACTGAGTGCCCAAATAGCTACAATAAACTTTATAAATTGATAAAAACATAATGCGATTAATTTACTGTCTCAGATGCTGCCCTTCTGATGGCAGACAAAATATTCCGCTGTCGCTCGTCAAAAACCTTGTTAACTCCATTTGAGCCTGATTTTCAGAAAATGTTAAAGGGGTCATATGATGCTAGAGAAAGGAAAACTTAAAATCGCATCATATGACCCCTTTAAGTTCAAGTGTCTGATCATATATAAAGCCTAAATACCAACTCTGACGACGCATTGTTTAATTATAAAAAAAAATTATTTTTTTTTGCTTAGTGGTGTGTTGTGGGATATTTTTACTTATCAAAACTGTGCCGCGGCAGAAAAATGTTGGGAAACACTGGTTTAAAGGGTTAGTTCACCCAAAAATGAAAATTCTGTCATTAATTACTCACCATCATGTCATCCCAAACCCGTAAGACCTTCGTTCATCTTCGGAACACAAATTAAGATATTTTTGATTAAATCCGAGAGCTTTCTGACCCTGCATAGACAGCAAGGATACAACCACGATCAAGGCTCAGAAACGTACCAAGGACATCGGTAAAAAAGTCCATGTGACATCAGTGGTTCAACCATAATTTTACGAAGCTACAGGAATACTTTTTGTGCACAAAGAAAACAATAATAACATAATTTCAGACAGGACCACTTTGGCAAGTTACTTGAGTTTATTGAAACACAATTTATCTTTGGCGGTATGGTTCCTTATGGGGGTTCTTGCTCCAAAATTAATTGAACATACAAGAGCTTCAACATTAACCCCCCGGAACCATCAGCTTGGAAATACATAGACAATTAAGACACTTAGTAATGTCTTTAAAAGCGAACAGTGGTAATCGTGTAGATGTGGCAGTGGGACGTCTATACTGTAGCTGGTTATGAGGATGAGTGTCTCTCAGCAGTGAGGTCCATGCCAGCCGGGACTTGAAAGCCTTAGTGATCTGAAACAAAAGAAGACGACAACCAGGAGGTGCACAGTAATATGCTCATGCTTATAGTGGGGAAGGAGGGAGGGTTGCGAGCAGTTTGAGCATACTTACCGAGCAGTAATGCCACGTATATATGTCCCGTATCTAATAGGAGAATGGTAGTGATTGGAGCGATTTGACAGCTGCCTGCGTCAGCGGGTCGCAGCACTATGCCTACGTGGCCTGACTGAACTAACGCTGCGCTCGATTTATTCAACAATCCTTCTCCCCGAGGAACCGTCTTCCGTCATTTTGGAGAGTACCCCAGAACGTAATCAACGTAATCAGTGTTGTTTACGTTCAGCATGCGCACGCTTTTTGCACACAAAAAGTATTATCGTAGCTTCGTAAAATTACGGTTGAACCCTGATGTCATATGGACTATTTTACTGATGTCCTTGCTACGTTTCCGTGCCTTGATCGTGGTAGAATCCTTGCTGTCTATGGGAGGGTCAGAGAGCTCTTGGATTTAATCAAAAATATCTTAATTTGTGTTCTGAAGATGCACAAAGGTCTTACGGGTTTGGAACGACATGAGGGTGTGTAACTAATGACGGAATTTTCATTTTTGGGTGAACTAACACTTTAAGGGGAAAAAATCATCTTGTCCACAGTAATATTGACACATGCAGTCATTCAAATTCAGCCCTTGAATTTAGAAATGTCAGCAATATAACAGTTTCCACATCCCTTCTATGAGTATTCCAAATTGCTGGATATGAAACGATGCTCTTTGGTTGCTTTTAGTTTTGTGTACACCCAAGATGCACGACTGCATCAGGGTGATAAAAATGTGCTGGGTTACAACCGATGCCTCACGCAGGAAACTGTTATTCCTGTGACATCAGAGGGATGATAACAATTTTGTAAGGCAATAGTGCAACAAGCAGGAGCGCTTTGCTGACACTATAAAGACAGAGTCAGAAATGGCCGGGCAGTCTGTCAATGAACAAGTGAAATGATAGATACCAGGCCTTTATCGAATCAATACCGCTGTTTCCTCCCATGTTGAACAGCCTGCCATGCAGAGGACTAATTAGATGATAAAAAGTGATGGATGTGTATTAAATTCACCAGCCTCTTTAAAAAAAATTGCTCCTTTGGGCTTTGCAGCATTTCCTGCTGACCTTTTAGATCCTAACTTTATTGTATGTGAATGCAATTAAATCAATCTGTCTGATAGTGGCAATGCAACGGTGCTGTTTGCGGGGCTTAACTACACAGGAATTCGGTTGACTGCGAAGGGAAAGCCGGGAGATTGAATTTGTAATATTGTCAACAGCGTCTGTGTAATCAACAAGAAAACAAACAAATGAAACATCTCCAAGAAGCATAGTTGTGTTCTATGAAACATAAAATAGATAATGAATGATTTCCTCAGTCAGGCATGATAAAAATTGGAAGAGTAAAAGCCTATTGATCCTAATGTCATTACTCCGAAAGTTAATGAGAGATGACAAATTTGAGCTGAAATAAAAAGTCACAGAGGACAGGTTGCTGGGAAGGAGAATCAAAATGACTTCTGAAGGGGTCACGAGCTCTGGAGAGAAAGAGCACGGCAAACCGCAGAGAACGGGCAGGATAACCATCAGGGGCCATGGGGAGTCTCGCATCTCGCTACTAGAAACTTGAGGTCAAAGAATTTCCCTGCGGACATCCGCTAGGCCGTGCTTTGCCCTGGAGACATCAGCCCCCTTATGAAGGCTTTTCTTCTCATTAAGGTTCTCCTGCAGATCCTTCAGACTCCTGTAGCACAACAGAATGGCAATGAAACTCTCAGAAGCTATTGTTAAGACTACTGTTCAATTGCAGGGTAACGACCAGAGTGACTGTTTTAAGATTACATTGCTCGTTGCGCTATAGTATCATTGTCTATATCTTTAAAAAAAAGTACTAAAAAATCTTAGTTGATTTGACAAGAATCTATTCAGAGACGGTCAAGACAGTCTTAAGATCACATTTATAGCTCAACAATAACAGTTAAGGTAAAATACATCAAATAAGTGATGCACAACATTGGTACCACATGGGTTATCGACCAATAACATAATGTTATTTATTTTATGCCTATTGTTTGATATATAGAGGTTGATTGTTGAACATTAATTGTGTAAGTGATTTATTTGCTAATCACTTGCTGTCATTTAACACTTAATTATGTTAATTTTTAAATACACTAATAACACATCAATAATAAATGTAAGCTTTAGCAAATATCAAACTGATTATCTGTTTATCAAACTGAAAATTATAATGTTGTGATGTCTAAATTCACTTTTTAATTTAATTTTTAGTGTTTATTTACATTTGACAATTGCTTGACATTGGCTGATACTGGATATTTCTTTGTGCTCATTTGCTCTACTATTACATTTAATCACCTTTGCCATCACTTAACTCACAAGTTCATTTTTATGTATGCTAATAAAACTGTTAAACGTAATCTTTAGCAAATATCAAAGTTGTGATGACTACATTCACCTTTAAAATGAATACTTTTAGTTTGTAGTGTTATGATTTGTATAATACAGTATTTTAATATCTGACTTAACATGATTGTCCCCCAATTTTAGATTGGAAACTGAACTTAAAAACAAAACTCTACTAAAACAAAACAAATATCACTGAGAACGACAGACTTAAAACTTGGAAAGTGAAGACATTTGAAGAAAAAAAAATGTGCGAGTAACTTAAGAACATTTCTAGCTGCACTGTAACATTGACCTCTAAATCGCGTAATAAAGGTTTGAAAATTACATACATTTGTTTGTTCGACTAATTTTGAGAACAAAAATCCACTCAAGGAGAATAGATTCTTCACCTTTGCCTCTCAAGAGAACATTGGTATATTATTTATTTTTCCAGAACTTCAGCTGATGCAACACTTTCCCTGCTGAGCATTCAATCTTCAAACACAACTAAGAGCAACAGAGAGAAGCAATTGAATGCCAGTGGAATGGCAAAAACACCCCGGAAAGCAATCCGGTAGCGAAAGATCTCTCAAATAGTTTAAAAAGATTCAGAACAGCTTGTAATAGATCTAAGGCCTCTAATGACCCCTTCTCGGGATGTCCCTCAGATTGATGACTTTCGCAGGCTTTTGCCCAGGTGGCACATGGGAGGGACAGGTCCAATACATCATCTTCACCTCTGGCTGGTAGCCCCAGGACATGTGACGTCATCTCTCCCAAAGGGTCCACCGGATTTCCACCGGAGCAATGTCTAAAAGCACCTGTAGAGCGGCGACATATCCCTGAGTCTGCAAAGAGTCCCCGAACACCTCCCAGGTGGAGCACCCTCAGCATAATTAGGGTGGAATCTGCTAGGACTTCTAGTTTAGGGTCATTCATCAAACGAATCACCCACAAGATTAATGTGGCCCCACAGTAGCAACAGCTTGTAATAGATCTAAGGCCTCTAATGACCCCTTCTCGGGATGTCCCTCAGATTGATGACTTTCGCAGGCTTTTGCCCAGGTGGCACATGGGAGGGACAGGTCCAATACATCATCTTCACCTCTGGCTGGTAGCCCCAGGACATGTGACGTCATCTCTCCCAAAGGGTCCACCGGATTTCCACCGGAGCAATGTCTAAAAGCACCTGTAGAGCGGCGACATATCCCTGAGTCTGCAAAGAGTCCCCGAACACCTCCCAGGTGGAGCACCCTCAGCATAATTAGGGTGGAATCTGCTAGGACTTCTAGTTTAGGGTCATTCATCAAACGAATCACCCACAAGATTAATGTGGCCCCACAGTAGCACTGCAATGGATTGCTGCCACTTGCTGAGATCATTAGCGTTGGCTCAGCCGCCACAGCGAAAGGGGGCTTTGCTCAGAGAGAAGTGGGATCTGCAGCTTTGCATACTAAATGAATAGTCCATCATCGCCTAATTAAGAGATTATTGGAGACACTCGTGTCCAGTCTCCTGGACAGTAAACCATAACTGAAGGGCAAAATAGATAGATTAGCTCCACCTGCTTCATTGCAAAATACAACATAGTGAAAATCCTAATAAAAGAAAGCAGCAAAAAATGGGCAGCTTCAAACACAGTGCTTAGAGCGATAGTTCCACCAAATTCTCTTGTGATAAACTTAACCTCAAAAGAAATTATTTGGAAGAATGCGTGGACAAAAACCATCAAAAACACTACCCATAATTGGATTGGGACTAGTTATCTCTAAATGACATTTGTGTTATTATCACCCACGTCTGTGATTTTATATACCAATTTGGATGGTGCATGTTATTAAAGAGTTGGGAGTGTGTGTTTTCTAAATGTGGGCATTACAGAAGGCTATGTGCTGTGCTTGCATGCATCATACATCTTTTTAATGATTTTTTTTTTTAATTATCAAAACCTTATTTAAATAAACTTCACATGAGTTTAAAGAAGTGGCTACTTATAACAAACAGATAAATCTAGTTCTATCATGACAACTCTCGGAGGGATTGCTATGATAATGTACATGACAATGTTCATGTGTTTGGTCTTGGCGGAATAGATCTGCTACGCTGCTGCTGCGGCAGAGCAAGTACCGAGACTCGCTACTGCCAATACATCCACAAGCACTGCAATGGATTGCTGCCACTTGCTGAGATCATTAGCGTTGGCTCAGCCGCCACAGCGAAAGGGGGCTTTGCTCAGAGAGAAGTGGGATCTGCAGCTTTGCATACTAAA